GGTCCTTAACATTTTTAAACGTTATTTGAGAGAGCGAGAGAGCGAGCACTCCTCTCTGCTGGTTCACTCCCCAAATGCCTGCAGCAGCCAGGGCCCGGCCAGGCTGTAGCCGGGAGCTGGGAGCACCATTCCAGGTCTCCCAGGTGGGTTGGCAGGAACCCAGTTACTAAGCCATCACTGCTGCCTCCTAGGGTGCATAGTGTTAGGAAGTTGGGGTCAGGAGCCAGAGCCGTTTCAACCGCAGGCATTGCAATGTGGGCCGCGGATGTCTGAGCCGCTGAGCTGAAGGCCTGCTCCTGCTGCTCCTCATTCTAAAGGCCTCCTGCAACATCTGCCTTAGGAATGATGTTGGCACTCTTCACCGGGCCAGGCCGGCATCGTGGTGCAGCGGGTTAAGCCTCTGCTGGGGACACAGGCTTCAAGTCCTGGCTGTTCCACTTCCAATCCAGCTCCCTGCTAATGTGCCTGGGAAGGAGTGAAGATTGCCTGAGCTTGGGCCCCTGCACCCACGTGGGAGACCTGGAAGAAGCTCCTGGCTCCTGGCTTCAGACTGCCCCAGCTCTAGCTGTTGCAGCCATCTGGGGAATGAACCAGCGAATGGAAGACCTACCCCCCACAACCCCACCTCTGCCTCTGTAACTCCACCTTTCAAATAAATAAATAAGTAAATCTTAAAAAAAAAACCCAAAGACACTGATGCTAATACCACCAATAATGGGACAGATGGACATCACATCCCTTGTTGAAATGACTGAGATGGACACACCACCACTTATATAACATTCTTGCCACAAATACGAAGAAGAGTCTAAACACGAGGGGACACCTGATCCTTCAAATTTAGAAATGTCTACAAAATGACTGGGCTTTACTCCTGAAACATGCTACAAGTGTGAAATAAGACTCAGAGATGCGACAGCTAAATACAACACGGGGTTCTGGACTGGACTCCAGATCAGAAAAAACAATTGCTGGGGCCAGTGTGGTGGCCCAGTGGGTGAAGTCACTGTTCGCATCCCATATCCAAGCGCCAGTTCGAGCTCTACCTGCCTGCTAACGCACCTGGGAAGACAGCGGAAGATGGCTCAAGGGCTTGGGCACCTGCTACCCACTTGGAAAACCCAGATGGAGCTCTGGGCTCCTGGCTTCATCCTGGCACAGCCCTGACTGTCATGGCTATTTGGGAATGAACCAGAGGATGGAAGATCTCTCTGTCTCTCCTGCTATCTCTGTGAATCTGCCTTTCAAATAAACAAACAAATATTTTTTTAAAAAAAATTCCCTGGAAGACATCCCTGGGACAACTGGTCGACTGCGAGCTTGGGCCGTCTGCTGTCGCTGTCACTGTGGGTGTGGTTAAGTTTCCAGAGGTGCTCCTGCCGGGGTCACGCGGGAGAACGTCCTCGGAAGATGCAGACTGCGTGGAACCTTAAGTGTGCGACAGCGTTCCAGACACACACACGCAGAGACAGCCGCGAATCTGGCAGAACACTCGCTGGGAACCGCCCAGCCGTGAGCAGCAGTTCCTTCAACTACATTTGCAAATCTTCCTGGAGGGTTCATGTTGTCTCTGAATGAGGCTTTCCACCGCTGTTTGCTGGAGGGAGCTCCGTTCTGCGCCTGTGTGCTGTGGTTTTTCTCCTGGATAAGCACGGAGCTGTGTCAAGTGCTTTCTCTGCATCCATGGAGACGACAATGTGGTTTCTCTCCTGTCCTCTGTTAACATGATGGCTTCCTTTTATTGGTTTACTAATATGAAACCACTTAGTTTCTGGAATAAATCCCACAGAGTATGTCTTTTCTTATTCACTATTAGATTTTTTTGCTTAGTAATTTTGCAATCATCTTTAAGAGTAAGATTGATGTGTATTTTTTTCTTGTCTTTTTTTGGTGGTAAGATTCATTTATTTATTTTAAAGGCAGAGCAAGAGAGAGAAAGGATGAGACGGGGTGTGGGGGGGAGAGAAAGAAAGAGCAAGAGAGAGAGAATGAATTTTATATCTGCTGGTTCAGTCCCCAGGCTTGCCCTGCTGTCACCCTGCTTGCCGCCTTCCCCCTCTGGCTTTGTACCCCGAGGCCCACAGAACGAGGAGGAGAGCTCCCTCTTTTCCTGCTGTTGGACAGCCGGGGGTGCAGCCGGAGCACTAATGAGGGTGCACACTCTTTCAGGTGCTCCCCAGCCTTGGGATCTCCACCATGAAGCACCCATTCACGCTTTTTTTTTTTTTTTTTTTTTTTTTTTGACTGCAGGGGTCCATTTTATTTCATTTCAATTTTTTAAAGATTTATTTTATTTATTTGAAAGGCAGGGTGAGACATCAAGAGAAAGAGATAGACAGATTTTCCATCTGCTGGTTCACTTCCCAACTGGCCACAGTGGCAGGGGCTGGCCCAAGCCGAAGCCAGGAGCCAGGAGCGTCTTTTGGGTCTCCCACATGGGTGGCAGGGGCCCCAGGCACTCAGACCATCTTCCACAACTGGCACATCAGTAGGGAGCTGGATTGGAAGCAGAGAAGCAGGGACTCAAAGCAGCACTCGCCCATGGGATGCTGGTGTCACAGTGATGGCTTGACGTGGTATGCTACAGCAGCAGCCCCAGCGGGCTCCATGTTATATATGCAAAGAAATGAGTCCTTAGTCATGTTCATTATACGCATAGCCTTTCCCATGCCACAGCTTGCCTTTTGCTTCTGCTATTTTCTATCAGATTTTTTTTTTTTTTTAATTTAAGAGGTAAGAGAGAGACAGGCAGACAGAAAGAGCTCGCACCTGCTGGTTCCCTCCCCAGAAGCCTGCATTGGCTAGGACTGGGCTCGGCTGAAGCCGGGAGCCAAGAACTCAATGTAAGTCTCTGGCAAGGGTAGCAGGGACCTGACTGTTAGAGCCATCACCTGCTGTCTCCCAGTGTACACATTAGCAGGGGGCTGGAAGAGGGAGCGGGAGCCGAGACTTGAACCCAGGCACTTCGTGGGCATCCCCACCTGTGTCTTAATTGATAGGTTAAACATCTGCCCCTAAAGGAAATTTTTATTGACAAAATTTTTATTGCTCAATGTTTAAAATAGTTACAGGGCTGTGTATTCCTACCGGAATCAGTATTGGCAAGTTCCATTCTTAAAGGAACTTTCCCCTATTCTCAGTGCTTTCGCAGGTATTGGCATGAAATTGCTCATGTTAACTTCTTACTGGATTTTAAGGCTCTGAAGTTCTCTTGCTGTGCCCGAGGTTATTTGGGCCTCCTCCCCTCACTGCCAGCCGGTCTCCCCCGGGCTTGGGGACCCCTCTCTTCTCTTTCTTATTTTTTTGGAAGACTGATTTCTCTCTCTCTCTCTCTCTCTCTCTTTGTCTGTCTGTCTCTTTTAAAAGACTGATTTATTTATTTCAAAGGCAGAGTTACAGACAGAGAGGGAGAGACAGAGGTTCACTCTCCAAATGGCTGAAACGATGGAGCTGGGCCAATCCAAAGCCAGGAGCCAGGAGCTTCTTCAGGGTCTCCCACGTGGGTGCAGGGGCCCAACCACTTGGGCCATCTTCCGCTGCTTTCCCAGGCCACAGCAGAGAGCTGGATTGGAAGTGGAGCAGCCGGCACTTGAACTGGCGCCCATATGGGATGCCAGCACTGCAGGCGGAGGCTTAACCCGCTATGCCACAGCGCCAGCCCCTCGTTTTCTCTTTTGTTGAGTTCTGCTTTTTACTATCTCCTTGCTCAAACTCTCTTGGGGTTTCCTGTGTTCCTTTTCTTGGGGCGAACACTTTGCCACCAGCGTTGGGCCTTCTGCTCTCCCAGTCCACAGGCTGCTGCGACCCTCTTCCCTGCAGGCCCCTCCCCCGCAGGCCTTCATTCTGTGAGGTCTCATTAGCAATCTCAGGGCCAAGCATTTCGAAGTGTCCATTCTGACTTCCTCTTTGGCCTCTAAGTTACTTAGCAACGTGTTTTCAAATTTCTTATGAGTTTCAGGCTTGGAATGAGAAAACCCAGCCCACCAGGCAGGCAGCAGCACTGTGCAGTGCGGGAAGCTGCCACTTGGCAGGCCCACATGCCATCCCCGGGGAGCTGCTGGTGTGTCCCAGCTACGCTTCTGTCCAGCTCCTGCTAATGCACCTGGGAAGGCAGCAGCCCTGGCTCCTGGCTTCTACCTGGCCCAGCCCTAGCTGTTGTGGGCATCTGGGGAGTGAACCAGCAGGTGGAAGATCTCCCTCCCTCCCTTCTACCTCCCCATCCTATCCCCTCCCTCTTTCTCTGTCCCTCTTTCAAACAAAATAAATAAAAACTTAAAAAAAAAAAAGCGTTTCAAGCCATAGCCAGGGGCTCTGGGGGTCTGGGCGCCCTTCCAGTGTACCTGGGTGGTGGTCTTCAGGAACTCCCATTCCCAGGGGAACCCTGGCCATGCTGGCTCTCGGGTCTGCTCCTGCCGTGAACCAGAGGCGTCACCGGCCGGGGACCTTGCAGCACCATCGGGGTTTCGGCCTCGAGCCAGGGTGTCCGGGGAGGACCTGCTCTTGGCCTGATCTACAGACTGCCATTTCGGGGACTGAGAGCAGCTGCATCTTGGCCATGGCATATGGTCCAACCTACACCATCGACACACCTGCCTTTCCCGCTCGCTTCCTGCTCACCTCTTAGCCAGGCTTTGGAGCAACGTTTGTCTGTTTTTGGTGTACGGGAGGTGGTTTGGCTCCCGTAAGCCCAGCGAAGCATAAACAACTATATATGCCTTTGGGAGTGAATTCATTGGCAGGATTATTTTGTGGTGGTGGTGGTGGTGGGAGGAGGCGGTTGGTCCTGGGGGCAGCCAGGCCACGTGCTGGAAGCTGAAACCCTAGGATAGGTACGTACTCCTGGAGGAAACCAAAGCTCAAAACAGGTGCAAGGATGCACCCAGAGTCCCACAGCCGAACAGGCAGGGCTAGGACTGGCGGCACCTATGGGACTAGAAACCAGGGCTCCTTCTACCATGCCTCTGTCCATCGAGGGCCCCAGAGGGACCCGGCGTCCTTACCTGGTGCAGGGGGATGACAAGGAAGGCGCCCCCGCCGGCACACTCGGTCACGACGGCGATGAAGTGGGGGTTCACGGCACAGAAGTGGTTGTCGTGGACACTGCGGGTGATGGGCACCGAGTCGTAGCAGTTCTCCTTGCTGGCTGGCTTGCCGAAGACGTGGCGGAACTTGGAGCTCCGGTACTGGGGGTGCCATGACATCTGTGAGAGACACACGGGACAGAGGGGTGAGGCTCCCTGCCCAGATGACAAGGGGGCAGGAGGGTGTCTGAGGGGGCGGGGCCGGGGCAGTGCGATGCTGGGAAGGGGTGACCACGTGCGCGGGCTGTCACCACGGCTCTCTCTGCAGACGGGTGAGGTGGGTGGGCTGGTGGTAACTGCCACTGACCCATCAGCGGATGCTCGCGGCTCTTCTTCCTTGCCCAGGCAGAGAAACCAGGGAGTGCACACGGCCCACCCTCCCCAACCACCATCCCAGCACACAGCCTGGCCACCCTGGCTGCCCCAGCCCAGCCCCGAGGGTAGCAGCCCCTTGCTCCCCAGATCCAGCCCAGGCCTCTACCAGGCGGATGGACAGGTGACACAACCTTGGAGTCTCGGTCTTCTCATCTGCCAGCCGGGATAACAAACGCACCTGACTCACACGTGCCCACGAGGGCTAACTGGGATGACATATTGCGACCCCATGGCACATGGCAGGCACTGGCTCAACCCAGCATTGCTTCTGCAATCACATCCGGGCACCTGGAGCTTCCTTTGCTCCTTGCCCAGCCGTCACGTGGTTCTCTCAGTATTCCCAGAGCACCACTGTGTGACCAGGCCCCGTGCCGGGCACTGCAGGGATGGCAAGCAGTAAGCCTGAGCCCAGCTCTCACAGGGGTGAAGGGGATGCTAAGCTGCTAGGATCCAGTGGATTCTGGGCCATAATGTGGCAGTCAGGGAGGGCTTCCTAGAGGAAGTGACTCCTGGGCTGTGATTGAAGGATGTGTAGGATTTGGTCATGTGGACAGGGCAAGGGCGAGCTCGGAGGTGTCTCAAGCCCAAGGGAACAGCCTGAGCCAAGGCCCTGAGATGGAAGCAAATGCAGGACACCTGGGAAAGGCATGGGCATGAGTTACACTAGCAAGGAACTATTAAAAAGAAAAACACACATCTGCATCGCACACACGCGTGAACTTGATGGTGGGCGATGGACATGGGGAGAACACAAGCCCGAGGAGGGCACAGGACCAGACCACAAGCCGCCAAGAGAGGGTGCAGGCCTCCTGGGGGCCAGACACACAGCACGGGGCCTGCTCTTGGCCAGAGGGGCTGCATGTATGCACCAGGCCTGCCAGGGACACGGCCTGGGGCCTGCCCTGGGTTCCCACCCCCATCACTCTTCCTGCCCCCGGTTCACTGCTGCCCATGGCAGCCCGGCCAAGGGCCTCAGCCTGGCACTCAGGGCCTGCTGGGTCTCAGTCCACATTCCAAGACTGATGTCCTTGCTTACCCTAAACACGACTGTCCAGCTTCCCTCGTGCCTGCTTTGCTGTTTCCGGTCCTCAGACTCTCCCTCCTTGCCTTTCCCATCTCCACAAATCCAAGTCCTTCCCTTCCCCAGTTCTCGAGTCTCCTCCTCCAGAGAGTCCTCCTGGATGTGCCAGCTGGCAGAGCCCTCTCCTCTCTGCCCCCCACAGCCGTCCCTGCTCTCAGTCTTAGCCCCTGACTGCCCGGATGCAGGGCTGGGTATCAGGCCTCATCGTCCCCAGGAGCTTCCAGGTCCCCCAGACAGGCCTGGGGTTGTGCTCAGCGAGTGCCCAGGACTGGGTCTGTCTACTCCAGGCCCCCAGAACTTTCCAGAAGAATGTAGACAAGGGAGCTCCAAAAGTTTGTGGAACATGGAATGAAAAGAGAAGTTTATTTTGATGCAAAAAGTGTTTGGAGTGGCATAGCAAGTAAAGTTGTCACCTGAGGTGCTGGCATCCCATATGGGCACCGGTTTGAGTTCCGGCTGCTCCACTTCCCATCCAGCTCCCTAATAATGGCCTAGGAAAAGCAGCAGAACACGGCTCAAGTGCTTGGACCCCTGCACCCACGTGGGAGAAGCTCCTGGCTCCTGGCTTTGGCCTGGCTCAGTCTTGGCTGTTGTGGCCATCTGGGGAGTGAACCAGCAGATGGAAGACCTCTCTCTCCCTCTCTCTGTTCTTCTGTCTTTCAAATAAATAAATTAATTAATTAAAAAAAGTCTTTGAAATCTAAGCATAATTTTTTGCCTTATATGCATTTTCCCAAACTTTATGAAGTCCCTTATATTTGGCTTTGTTCCCGCTGGTCAGCGCGGTAGCTGGCCAGGGAGACTCCGCTCTGTGCTCGGTCTCCAGGCTCACTAGACCCCAGGGACCTCAGGCAGGTCCCGGCCATCGGGGGCCGACCCCCACGCTAAGTCCTTTACAAGCTCAGGGAGCACTCAGGCCTGCGACGCTCACACATCTCAGCTCTCCCACAGCGCACCTGGCTGCACCTGCCAGGGCTGCACCACAGGAAGAGCCCAGGAGGCAGGGATGGACTAAAACGCCCATCTGGCTGCAGCAGAAAGAGACCATCTGAGTGTGGGGAGTGTGAAGCTACTGAGTATGCTGTCGGGCCCTCCACACGGAGGAGGCGGAGCTCAGACGTGGTTCTGAGCATCCTGGTGGCAAGTTCAACAAGGGAAACAGGATCAGGAAGGGGTGCAGTCAGTGCCTGTTTTCTCTGCACTGGGTCCTGGGGGCCTCTTGGAAAGAAACAGCAGGGACGACGACCTCCCCAGGGTCTTGGCAAGCAGGTGGCAGGCACCTGAGGAGCCGCCTTGGGCCTGGGCTGGGAAAAGGAAAGTAGGGGGTGGGTGAGCAGGTCTGCTCCAGGTCCCCAGCCCCGCCTCCCCTGGCACAGCTACAGGGAGTGGGGGCGTGCACTGGCCTGTGGCAGATGGTGACAGGAGTCAGGCACTCTGTGGCTCCCCTCCTGGAGCCGCAGGATGAATTGGTGTGCGGCACCCGCAGGCTGAAGCATCCAGGAGCTGCCTAGGGGCCTCAGGACCCTTGACCTTGGCTGACAGACAGAGACGGGCACAGGTTTCAGAAGGCGCAGCTACAGGGTGGTGGGGCCCTGGGCCCTGTGCAGAGCAGCGCCCTGCCCGCAGCTGCGTGGAGAGTGACGGAGACGTACACCACGCAGGGAGCCGCTGCCACAGCAGTCATGGACACGGAGCACAGCCTACCCACCCCAGCAAGGCCCTGCCCCACGCAGGGCCAGCCCACGGACACGGCACACGGCCGCTGCTTGGGCTTGGTGAGGCCAGAGAGCACACGGGACCCAGAAGTCCCCAGGAATTTGCACCTGGAGGGCCACGAGGAGCTACTAGGGGGATTCAAAGTAGAAGGAGGAGAGCATCAGCAGATTTTATTCATTAGAGGCAGAGAGACGGAGAGAAAGAACCACACCCACTGGCTCACTCCCCAAATGCCGGCAACAGCCAGGCCTGGGCCAGGTTGAAGCAGGAGCCCAGAACTCAGTGCCGGTCTCCCATGTGAGTGGCACTTGAGCCATCACCGCCGCCTCTTAGGGGGCACATCAGCAGGATGCTGGGGTTGCGAATGGAGCAGGGACTGGGGCCAGGCGCCCTGATACGGGATGTGGGTGTTTCCAGTGGCGTCTTAACTGCTGCTCCTCCAGATCTGAGTTTCAGATGGATTCTCCGGCAGAGCAGGGGAAGGTCAGAGCAGGTGCGGGGCCGTGGTCTCCTGGGCAGCCTTGGCACCTGAGTGCACCACTCAGGCTACGGGGCGAGGGCCAGTAGCAGCCCTTTTGTCATCAATAGTCCTGGCCTCTTTGGCCACTCCCTGCGCAGCCAGGCTGGCTCCCACCCCCCTCCCCCCCCAGGGCTCAGGCCAACACCTAAAGGTCGGCTCCCTCTCTGGAGGAGTGCAAAGGCCTTGTGAAGCCTGGGCCACGGCTCTCCTGGTCGCCTCCATGGCATTGAGAATCCAATTCTGAGTGCTCCCCACAGGCCTGGCTTCATTCCAAGTGTAAGAACATAACAGGGGTGACAGATGCTGGGAGGGGCCACACGCTGGCAAATGGCGGAGTGAGGGACTGAACTCTGCCTCTGCAGCCTGTGTCAGCTCCGCCCGAATGGGGCACAACACGGCCACCATCACCCCCCTCCACAGAGCAGGAAACACAGGCCCGGGATGCTAAGTGGAAAGAGGCGGCTGCCAGCCCCGTGGCTGGAGCCGGCCGGCAACACAGCGGTGCCAACGTCCACCACATCTGCCCCACCCCAGCTCATCACTCCACCGCCATGGTTCTTGCAGCTACACAAGTAGCGGGCGGGGGGCGGGGAGGCACAGCGAGGGAGCGGTGCATGCGTGTGTGGCGTCCAGTGAGTGCCCGTGACATCTCATGGGAGCACACGCGTGGGTGCGGCTACAGGCCGCTTCACTGTGCGTGCGCGTGCATGGGTGTGTGCCGGTGCACGTGCGACTCCCGTGACTAGCATTCAGAGGATGGGCGCTGGCCAGACAGTGAGAGCTGCACGGGGCCCCTCGCCCCGGGGCTGGGCTGGGCCTCTGGCAGGGCACTCATCCTGTCCTGCCCGGTCCTGGTAGGCTGGGCCCACAGCAAAGGTGAGGCCAGCCGGCACAGGCGTGGCGAAGACTCTGTTGCTCTGCCCTACCCTGGCAGGGGCCATGCATTCTGCTGCACCCTGGGAGTAGGCTCCCAGGAGCACTGAGTCACCTCTGGTTTCTCAATGCCTGACAGAGGAATGGCTCGCTGCCCGACCCATCCCCTGCGACCCTCCAGGGAGGAAGGTGGGGACTATGGTCCCCATTTAGTGCCAGGAATACTGAGGTGCAGGGGAAGTGACTAGGCCAAAAGAGTAGAGTGTAAGCCGGCATCCTGTATGGGCGCCAGTTTGAATCCTGGCTGCTCCACTTTTGATCCAGCATCCCTGCTAATGGCCTGGGAAAGCAGAAGATGGCCCAAGGGCTTGGGCCCCTGCACCTGCGTGGGAGACCTGGAAGAAGCTCCTGGCTTCAGATTGGCCCAGCTCCGGCTGTTGCAGCCATTTGGGGAGTGAACCAGCAGATGGAAGACCTTTCTCTCTGTAACTGTGCCTCTCGAGTAAATAAATCTTAAAAAAAAAAAAAAAAAAAAAAAAAAAGAATAGTATGCAC